TTCCTTTTGCTCCATTTGGACACCTTTGGCGCTTGGTCCGGCACACCCCCCGATCTTCCTGTCGGTTCCACGGCCCGTTCGCTGCTCCCGAGCATCTGCCCCATGCGGTCGGTGCATGGGCAATTCCCGCCGTCGGTGGCGGTGTGGTGGATCCGACACGAAGGGATTTGCGGAGCCGTCGTTGCTTGGGTTCTTCGGTCGCTTGGAGGATAGCTGTGCCCTGGTAGGGTTGAAGGGGTAGGGAGTTGCGCGAATGTCTTTTGGAGTATGGGAGGCTTCTTGATAAAGCCACATGTCCAACCCCCATTTAAGGAGGTGGAACATAGCAAATTGGAGGATGTGCGGTCTATAGTTCATTATCATTGCAACATGGCATTGAAGATGACTTTTACCCCAAGCTTTGTCCAGCTCCACTGGCTAACCATCTACTCTTTGACTGGTCTGCCGGAGTAGCTCTTGCATGGTGCTTCTCCAACCATGATTATGCTGAGGCCATAGTGATTGCCAGGTGCAGGCTTTTGGCTTTCGTTAGAGCGGTGCAGGCTGTAAGGAAGTCTTCCATGGTCTGGGCCCCTTTAAAAGAGCTGCGAGGTCTGACGCATGCGTACGACCCTCTCAGGCAGAAGCAGTTTTTCAACCCGTGCTCATGTTTTAATCACCAGCTCTGGACATCAGACTTGGAACTTAAAGGTGTCTGATTGGAAAGTCGTTTGCAGTGATTTATCAAGTAAATGATAGGGTCTTCATCAGTCTGGAAAAGGTGGGTTGCACAAGCTGCGCAAAGAACCCCAGCAACAAACATGTCCATAAACCTGCTACAGGCTTGCTACGAAGAAGGCTCTCAAGAAGGCTCTTTTTCGAACATGTGGACTCTGTTCTAACTGCCCACGACGATGGATTCTTCTAGCGAAGCTAAGGTTTGCAATAAATACTGCACTCTGACTCACTAACATGGAAGTGGAAAATGGTCCCTTGGAAGACTAATTACTTTCCTTTACGAATAGGGGGTTTTCCACTTCCATGTTAGTGAGTCAGAGGGAGAATGAAAAAACGACTGGTTTCCCACGGATGGTGCGGACCCCAAGCGGGCCATCTGTATGAAACCGGCTAAGACCGGACCTACACCGTTCCGCAGAACGGACCTGGCTGCTGGTCGTAATCATGTGGTCGAACGGTGATTTTCTGGTGTGAAGCTGAGCACATGTTGTAGATGCTAGATGATTTGTCCAAAGACCTTGTTGGTGCTTTGGGCGTTGCAAATGCAACTTCTTTAGAAAAGTACGTCTTCAATAAAGTACCCTCATCTCTGACTGCCACACCCCTCCGCTTTGGAAAATGTTCCGGTTTCAATCGTACCCTCACCCTGTCGATGGTCGGTGGGATCCCTGCAGAATCGCATTGGTCTGTATGCGCAGATGCCTCGAGGACGGACGGTGGACGCACCGGTTCAACCCGTTGCATCGTTTTTGGTGTTGCTTCGCTTCGTTTCGACTCTTCTGGGTGAACTGGATGGTTTGAATCCACAAATTCCGCCACCCAACATAGTTGTCACACTTCAAGGGGACAAGGCTAGGGATACAGTTGAAAGTTTGAGGGAACGTTGGTTCGTAAGTAGCTGGACTTGTTGGACTTTTTCACTGAAGTCAGGGTTGGTCCTTGTTTCCGAGAGCGCCCGAGCGAATGGCCCTTCCAACTTACATACCATGGTTACATCCGCGCATATGCAAACATGCACATTTTCGCATCCGCACATATCTCTAGCGTCAAAACTTGCATCTGCACATATTCAGACATGCGCATCTTCATATCTGTTCATCTCTCTCTCTCTCTCTCCCTCTCACATCTGCACACCTTTCATGCACACATCACATGCAACAAACATCTTTAGGACTCAAAACTTGCATCCACACATTTTTCTACATGGCCTGGAAGACATCTTTGGGGCACGACCTGGATCCACACATTCTACCTGTTCCTCTCAACGGCTGAAACAGTGCAGCAAAGGAGTGATCGTCATGTACACAAAACGCTCTCAGCCATAGCAACTCTGCACCGGGCCACGCTCTCAGGCCATCCGTCGTCTAAACGACAACGGCGCTGCAAGCTTTGTTTCTAGGAATAGGAAGGGTGCAAAAAAGAAGAACAACAACTATATAACTACTACTACTACTACTACTACTACGACTACCACTACCACTACCACTACCACTACCACTACCACTCCCTACTACTGCTCCTCCTCCTCCTACTCCTACTTCAACTTATTGCGACGACGACGACCACGACGACGACGACGGCGGCTACTACTACTGCTACTACTTATATACTACATCACCAGTGCTGGCTTGTTGTTTTGGAGGGGGTGTCCAAAAGGACAACCGCGGTGCTGCAGTGTTTGTCTTTAGGAGGGGGTAGGGACTAGAGACAAAGTAAGAAAATGATAGAAGATGTCTGTGGACGGGGCTGCTGTTTTTGTTTGTACCACCAAAATCAACAAGTCTTCCAGGAACCCAGGTCTGGCTCCAGATGGCTTTTGCATGTTTTTGCCCTTTCTGAGCCACATCTGGGCCTCCCCGGCACATGTGGATTTGGATCTCTATGTGGCCACAAATCCACCTGAATCTGCTCGGGTTTCAATTGCCTGCGAGCGGTGGGTGCGCGGTGGGGTGATTTTGGGCTCCACAAGATTGAAACATACCCAACAGTCAAACCTGGAAGCGGTATGATGTGGAACTCAGCTTTTTGCGCAGCCAAACCGGATGATTGGATGACAATGCACGGCCCCGTCATGGTCGACTTCTTGCGTGCACGAGGCCGGCTCTGGGAGCGATTGGAAACAAATGACCAGTAAGAATTGCTTCAATGCATCATGTATAAACAAAGAAAGACATATATCATATATGCTATATGATTCTATGCGTCATGAGTACTCAGGACTCATGTTACTTGAAGAGCAAAGTGTAAACATCGAATTGGAGGAATGTCTTTGGCCCCGATGATCAGTCACCCCGCATTTTTCCTCCTACTTTCAGCCAGCAGTGTGTGACATCAAACATCATCGACGTTGTTCACGAATCAGTCAGTTCGTGAGCAATGAGAACAACCAATTCCAGAACGGAAGAGGACCAACGGATGCGCAGGAAAACTCGTAGAGTGAGCCGAACACTTAATAATTATAATTAGATGTAATTAGCATTGTGTTTTTAATGAGGCGTGGTGTCCTCATGAGAGAGCACAGAACATTTCTGGTCCCTATAGTTGCCAACTCATCGAAGGGTCAATGGAGTCTCGAGCTTCCGAGAAGCTGCAGAAAGCAAAAGGAGAATTGCTGGCTTGCCTCACTACACCTGCATCATTCGAGTACCCCACTCTGTCCCTGCCAGGCGATGACTGAGTCGCATCAGTAGAATCTACCGACTTTCTTGCCGGTTTCATCCGGTTTCCAATCGAAGATTCTACGAGAACGCCACGAGAACCCCGCTCAAAGATGCTCTGGATCTATGTTTTGGATGTGGGTTGTGCAGCCTCTCCACACAGGTCAGGGGAAAACGCCACCGCTCACGACGTTCGCAGACCACCCACTTCTTCGCTGTCGCCTGGCGGAATCCGCTCGTTGACACCAATCAACTGGAGATCCCAGGACCAAGTCGGCTACCATTTAAGAGCCCCTGAAATGCCACACTTTCGCCCTCCAGAGCAGGAGGCCTACATTGGAAAGAAACACGGCAAAGAAGGGGAGGAAAAATGAGGAAAGTTTCTGTCTGCCGATATGATTGCTTGTCGCGCAGCTAATGCACAGCATGCCCCTTTTTATGGCGTCTGCAGAACTACTGTGGCAGGAACACAGAACATGAAAAACGAACAGCAAGACTAAGACGGCAGAACCTCCATGCTCTTTGGATCTGTTTGGAGTGTGTCTCTACCCCATTCAAATTACTGTCCAAAACCTCCATGATCTCCATGATAAATGCGCATGCTGCCCCAGAAGAGGGCCTGACCTAGGCTTCATGCAGCAAAACGAACGCAATACATCTCCTTCCTTGTGGATTATGACAGTGGGGATGCTCACTGAATAGTTTGGCTGCGAAAGGCAGGGGGTAATCAACAGTAAATAGGGTCTTCAAGAATGTTGGTCAAATACGCTTGAGGCAATCCAAGAAAACTGGAAGTTGGTTGACATCGCTAAAGCACACACACACACACAAAAACAAAAACATCTGTAATGGTTTCCTAAGAGGTTCCCCTTCCCATCAGTTTCTGGCTCTCACCACGACCTTGGGTTGTGAGTCTTCCGTGAGGGCAGGTTCTTGGCCACCCCGTCTTGCACTCGCTTTGAAGGGCCGTGGCCAGCCGTCCTTTGAGGACGCGGCACGGATGACCCGCCACAGACTCGGCCGCACTCGTCGTGTGTGCCGTGCGTCGCGTTGCTCGGCTGGGTTCTTTGCAGTTCGACCATGGGGTCACCACTTCGACAAGCTGGCAAAGGCATGTGGCCTTCCTACCAGGACTCACTAACCAATGGAAGCACTGCGCGCCACTGGGTCACTGGGTGCTGCAACTGGACAACAGCAACGGGACCAGGATCAGCTACCACCAGCAGCCTGTTGTACCTACAAAGGATGAGCTGCTCGTGCAGCACCCAGATTGAGACCATTGCATCTCAGCAAGCTCCTGTCTTCAAAGGCTGGCAAGGCAAAATTAATAAGATATACAAAGGTCATCAAAGGTCCCTTGCAGCACTTTAGGTGGAAGAAATCCTGCTCTGCTGCTTCACCAAAGCTCGGCACGCACCCAAACGCAAACCCTGTAGTGACGCCGCAGCTGCAAACATAATACACAATTGATGTGAACAATGATGAACATACAAGTATTGCGTACCACTGCACTCCTGGCCGCTAAGCACGCAAAACACGGAAAGGCCCAAAGTCTTGGATGTGCAGCAAATGACAGGACCATCTGGCCAAACAACTAGAAACATCCAGGAGGAATGTCAACAGTCTCTTTCTCAAACCGATGAGGCGCTTGTTCCAAGCTTGGTGAATCCAAGAATCCCACAACGAGCCAGGTCGGTCACACGCGCTTCACCTCGCTCCGGTCGCACGCTTTGGAGTCTCCTCCGACTTAGTCGGTGGCAGGCGGCATCATGGGAAGCATCCCAGGCATCCCGGCTGTTCCGGGCTTGATCGACCAACCTCGGGGGGCCGGGAACCGAAGGACCGGGGATGGGTGCGGTGATGAAGCTTAGGCCGGCGAAGAAGCTGGTGAGGTGAAGTTTGGGTTCAGTCAGCTAAACCACGCATGGTCTGGACTAAACAATCATGAGCTCTGAAACCCAATTTAGGGGATATTATTTAGGGCACTCTTATATAAGCTGACGTTCATTACTTTGTTGGTCTTTGTTGCTTTCCTTTCACCATGTGGATCGCTCGTTTGCATCCAGGCACGTGGGACGATGGGTTTCATCATTTCCTCCGGCTCTTCCTCTTCTTCCTGTGGTGGCATTGGTGTCACCTGACTCTCTCTCATTCCCAAAGCAGCTCTCCTTAGCCAGCGAACGAGTCCAAAACGGTTACTGTAGTAGAACTGTGCGCATTTCAACAATCAGCAATCTTGCGCACATCTATGTCCACATGAAATAGAGTCAAGTCTCTGAAATGTATCCTTGCCTCTTATTGATGACTATACATTACGAAAAGAAACACTGCAGGACTGCAGGCATTGAATTGCCCACCTATGACCCTCTCGGCTATAGAGCCTGAAAACACTTTATATAACTAGTCGAGGAGTCCACTTCCTTCCAGGTTCGGTCTGCAGGAGTGTAGATTCTGCAGGACAATTTTTTGCTACAGGAAGGGCATGGTCATGGTCGGCCCGCTTCCGCTCGCTTCCCCGTTTCCATTCCAAGAGTAAGCAGGGGGGGCCGGGCTCCATGGATTTTGTCCACTCTTCATGTACGTCTTCCTTCATCCCCTGGAAGGATTCTTTAATTCATCCCCCGGACAGGGTGTCCCCGTGCTGTTTCAGTTTGAAGCACAAAACTGAGGCCCTGGTCTAGGTAATTAAGTTCGTTATATTTTGTTAATATAAACAAATTCGGGTGAAAACGCCGCATGGAAACTCAGACTCACCCGAGGTCCGCACCAAAACCAATTGTCCTAAAGCCCTAGTCAAAGGCCTTGGATCGAAGACGCGCCCCTTAGACGGGTCAACTGGGAGTTCCTCTGCCAGTCCAGGATTGAACATCTGAAGGGAACCAAAGCCACATGCTTTATCTTGGGTCCTGGGATGTACTGAGGCAACATCAGAGACTTGCGTCACAGATGATGCGTCACAGATTAAGGAAAATAGATCTGGCGGCCCCGAAGTGAGGTTGACACAAGCTACGGGGGTCGCAGTCCCCTCAATGCTTGATTTGGAGCCATTTCCTTGGACATATTAAAGCAACATAAAAGAATATATAGGATCATATAAGTCATTGTTGTAGACCTGCCGCGAACCACGTTGGAATGTATCAGTTCTTCACGGCCGCTTCTTCCGAGCTTCTTCTGCTTTGCCTGCCTCCGCATGTAGAACCACGCGGCAACGGAAATGCCCGCAAAAATGGGCATGACCAAAGCACGGAAGACCTGATTCTGCCAGTCAGCTTGGTGCAAGCCAGTGGGTAATTGGATGCGAACCTGCGTTGAGAAAAAGGATGCTTTTGCCAGAAGATTGGCAAGCATAAATAAACAAACATGGCAAAACATGGTGAAAAAATCGACTGTTTCACAAACTTCTGCTGCTTTCAGAGTGCCCCGGTGCACGTCCTCACTTGGACATCAAAGCAACTGGCTTCATCAAGCCAGTGCGAAGCGTCCGACCCCTGGCCCCATGCCAAGGAACCCCTGCCACGGACATGTATCCATTGCCAAAGCCTTGGAACATCTCGTTGGAGCCGGCGCCCCCCAAATAGTCCTCAGTGATTGCGCTGACTGAACTTAGCATCCGCATCCTAAAGACGGCCACTGGTGGGCCCCGTGGGCCCGAGACTTGTTTGGAACGGACCCTGCAACGTTCCCGCATGCTCGGCTTCGGGTCGGAACCGGCGCGCCGGGTCGTCCGAGGCTCATCGGTGAGTTCGAGATTGAAGAGAATGCCCAGAGCGCAAAAGTAGAACATCCTGAGGGACGAATCGAGGCAATTCGAGGCATTTCTCCAGAATTCCAGCACAGTTCTGTGCGGCCCTGCCGTGGGAACACGCAGAACAACCACAAACGGTTCAAAACCAAACTCGTCTCCTTGATGTGATTTGTTGGGTTGTACCGCCGATGAACATGAAAGAGAAACACCACCGATACTACCACCGATGTTAGGATATTCAACGTTCTAGAACCAACTATATATAAGCTTCTGTCTCTGCAAGCCCACCACAGCAAATACCCTTGAGACACAGTGACCCTGGAGCTTGCCATGGATTGAAAATAGGTTTATTTTCTGAAAAAAAAATATGAATCTGATGAATTCCTGAAATATGAAATGAGAAAACCCAATTTTAGCGAATATTAAAAAAATATGAAAATAATGTAACTAGAAAAAGACAGGATCCCCTCAAGGAACATTTCAGGAATTCTTCAAATCAACCATTTTTCAATCTTTGGCAAGCTCCAGGCTGATTTTCATATTTTTCATATTATTTTCATACTTTTGATGTTTTTTTTGCATTTGTTTGTGTATTCTGTCCACTTTTTTCCATATTATTTTCATATTAAAACAAAGCGACCATATTTTTTCATATGTTCAGAATCATATTTTTATTCGATGAATCTCGCTCAACATATGTCGACTGCTGCTACCCTTTTCTGCGAATCGATTCAGGTCTGTACTGTCTGTACTAAAGTGCTTTGGTTCGAAATGCGACCCACGTCGCTTGTGTCATCTGACATCTGACACTCTCCCTGTGGGAGCACTCCATCCGTATGTAGTGACCGAGAGGATACCGCAGGGGCGGTCCTACGGCCACAACGGATGCCAGCTCTGGACAGAGCGATGAAAAGATTAAATGAAACTCCCTAGTCATCGTCAATACCTGGGACCGACAGAACAGGTATGATGGCTAGGCGGCGGGCAGCCGGAAAAGGACAACCGGACGACAGCGGCAGACAGCACAGTCCCCATCTCATGTGGCCGACAGCCCAGGCTGCAAGCGTCACAAGCATAGCCGTGGTAACTGAAAGTAACCCGGAATACGGCCATCAAGCACCAGCAAGGCCACAGGTGAAGCGACTGTCACCAGGTAACCAGACTCTTCCGGCAACAAGCCAAGTCAGCCACCAGCTCGACTAGCACCAGGTGGACATGAAAGTAACTAACAGGGTGTGGCAGGGTGGGAGAAAAAGTTTAGCTTGAGGTACCAGCAGCGACACTGCTCCTCAAGG